TAGCGAATTGACTTAAGGAAGGGGACAAAAATACAAAATTGTTTCATACATGGACTAAATTGAGGAGGGTGCGGAATAGGAGTACACAGTTTAAAATGTATTTGGATAACTGAGTTGAGAATGAATAAGGTATTGAAGTAATAGCCTCAGAGTATTTTCAAAACCTCTTCTCATCTTCAAACCCAAGCAATGTCGAAGAACCACTATGGTATGTTACCAGGCAAGTCTCACCATCTTGTGTTTAACAAAGATGCCGGATGAAGAAGAGATAAGAAAGGCGTTGTTTGATATTAATCCAGATAAAGAACCAGACCCTGATAGTATGACAAGTCTCTTTTATCAAAAGTTCTGGTCGGTGATTGGTAAAGATATCTTGAAGACTGTTTTACAATTTTTTGAATCTGGATCTTTCGATCCAAAGTTAAATAAGACTAATATCTGTCTGATCCTGGAGATAGAATAGCCTACTGAAATGCATAATTTTGGCGTATAGCTTATGCAATGTGTGCTACAAATTATTTCCAAGATCCTAAGCAAACACCTTAGATGCTTCCTCCGTAAACTGATTTTAGAGACTCAATTAGCCTTTGTGGCCTGACGGCTTATTATATATAATACTCTTGTTGCACAAGAGATCTTCCATGCTTTAAGTCGAACTCAATCTGTAAAATAAAGTTCGTTGCCATCAAAACAGACATGGATAAAGCATATGACATAGTGGGATAGGGGTTTCTAGAGGCTTTGATGCTGAAACTAAGTTTAAATAAAAAGTGGGTTGGCTGGATTAAATGGTGCATCTCAGCAGTATCCTATCAGGTGTTGTTAAATGGTGAGCTGAAAGGAAACATCATACCGACACGAGGTCTACGCCAAGGGGATCCCCTCTCCTTGTTTCTCTTCATTATACTCACAGAAACATTGATCGCCTAGATCAGAGGAGAAGAAACGGACGATAGGCTTACATGGATTAAAATTGCACAAGCATCCCATGCCAAATCACATTTTATTTTTATGGATGATAGTCTCTTGTTTTGTAAAGTCAATGTCCAGCAATGTGTAGAGTTGATGCGGATAATTAATAGCTACGAAAGAGCCTCAGAATAACAACTAAACACAGTGAAATCCTCAATCTTTTTAGGTAACAAAGTACACCCGGATCTAAAAGCGAAGCTGAAGAGGACCCTTGGGATAACAAGAGAGGGGTGGGGAGGGAGGGGGGAGGAGGATGGGGTATGTGAATGTATTTGAGGCTCCATAAAAAAATCTATGGATCCAAAAAACAAGTCTTTGCATATATTCAAAAACACTTAAATTAACTTTTGTCTAAAGGAGGAAAAGAGGTTTTTATTAAATTAGTGACTCAAACAATTTCTATATATGCTATGTCTTGATTTCTTTTGCTGCAAGAGACCATCAATAAGTTTCAAAACACCATTGCAAAATTTTGGTAGAGTTCCAAGCAAAAAAAAAATGCACTGAATTGCTTGAGATAAGATCCGCCTACCATAAAATAAAGGAAGTTTGAGTTTTCGTGACCTAAAGAATTCTAATCTCTGTCTTACTAGCAAAACAATTGTGGAGAATAATTCAGAATCCATCCTTCCTTCTTGCACAAATGCTGAAAAGAAAATATTTCAGATACTCTAACTCCTCTAGATGTGATTAGATATAATTTCCCATCGTTTTAATGGCGTGGCATTATAGCAGTACATGAGCTTTTTAGAGCTAGCTAGTGAAAATCGATTGGCTCTGATTTTAATTTTTTTCATCTATCCAATAGCATTGATTCAGCCTTACAGCCATATATTTATTTTCTACATATACCATAGTTTGATGAGGGAATTCCTCTTTATAACCTAAAAATTGATTTTTTCTCAATATGTTTGGCAAAACTAACCCAGAGGGGTAGTGAAAACTAACCCAGAGGGGTTGTGAAAACTAACCCAGAGGAGTAGTGAAATTACAGATCAGTCCTTTATGACTAAACAAAAAATATTTGCCACAGTTACGATTTTATCCTCCGGGAAGTCTACGTAAGAAGTCTACAATCGTAGACTGCTAATGAAGTCTACAATCGTAGACTGCTAATGAAGTCTACATAAGTAGACTTCAAAAGAAGTCTATTACATAATTAGTTTTTTAAAAATTAATTAGAAAATATAAAATAAATAAATTTCTAAAAAAATTGGTAAACATAAGTAAGACATATATATTTGACATGTATAGAATACAAAATTTCATACAAATGAATCAACTTAAATGCATAAAGAAAATTAACTAGAAAACATACAACCCCTTAGAAGTCTACTAAAAATAAAGTTTTTCTCTCCCTCTAAAAAATGCACTTGTTATGTTTGTTTAGAAGGTCTACTTTATATGTAAAGTTGGATTGCAATTAATGTTATTTAATATATTTTTAAATTATGTGTGTTTTATCATATTCAGATTTTATATGCAGACTTCTTTATCAGACTTAGTCATCACTATCTTTGAACCTCTAATAACACAAGAAAATTAATTTAATTTTAACTATACAAAAACATGTAAAACTCATAACAAAAAAATATGTAAAACTACTTAGAAATACCACAACTAGTCCTTTTTCACACATTCTCTATAAACAGTGGGTATGTGAACCATTCTCTGTAAGAAAAAAAAATTCAAACCACATTAGAAATCATTGTCAAAAAAGTAGACTGCAAACGAAGTCTACTATGTAGACTTCAAATGAAGTCTGCGGACTATTAAGCCAAATACCAAATAAAAGAAGAAAATTAATTATAACTAAACTGTAACAAAAAAAATTTCAAACTCATACATAAGCAAGAACAATAAATATCACACACTTAAGAGTCAAATAATAAATTTTATTTGTTATAAATATCTGATCAATTAAATTTATAAAAAAATAATGTCACAGACTGCAAACGAAGTCTACGGACTAATAAACTAAATACCAAATAGAACAAGAAAATTAATTAAAGCTAAACTATAACAAATAAACATGTCAAACTCTTACATAAGTAAGAACAATAAATAACACACACTTAAGAATCAAAGAATAAATTTTATTTGTTACAAATATCTGATCAATTAATTTAATAAAAAAATTAATGTCGCAGACTGCAAACGAAGTCTACGGACAAATAAGCTAAATACCAAATAAAACAAGAAACTTGATTTCACCAAATATATATAATATAAACATGTAAAACTGATACAAATGTAAGTACACTTACTAAAACAATCGTAAGACCAACAAATCTTAAAAATTCGTTGTAAATTTGATAAAAACGCGTTTAAAAAAAAAAGTGAAATAGTAGACTAACAACAAAGTTTACAAAAGTAGACTTGCAACGAAGTAGTCTACAAATGTAGACTTCGTATGAAGTTTATATATTAGGTTACTTTGCAATTGCCAAAAGATGAGTAGACTTCTTCAAAGAAATCTACTCACTCCGAGAAGTCTACTCGAGAAGTCTACGTAAAAAAAAGGTTAGTTTTGCAATTGACCAAACTTTGACTTTTTCGTAAGAAGTCTACTTGCAAAAGTAGACTTCTTCGGAGAAGTCTACTTTAAAAGTAGACTTCTTAGAGGTTAGTTTTGTAATTCACCAATGTTGACTTTTTAAAGTAGACTTCAAACGAAGTCTACTTGGGTTAGTTTTGGGGTTGACCAAACATTGAATTAATTTTCGAGTAGACTTTGTTTAAAGTCTACTCAGAAAGTAGACTTCAAACGAAGTCTACTCGGAAAAGTAGACATCAAGCAAAGTCTACTCAAAAAGTCAACATTGGCTAATTGCAAAACTAACCTCTAAGAAGTCTACTTTCAAAGTAGACTTCTCTGAAGAAGACTACTTTTGCGAGTAGACTTCTTACGAAAAAGTCAAAGATTGGTCAATTGCAAAACTAACCCCTTTTTATATAGACTTCTTTTGAAGTTTACACTATTTTTTTGTTGTCAAAAGAAATGGCGCAGACTTCAACTGAAGTCTATTGTCAGAAATTGGTACACCCAGTCAATTGCAAAACTAACATGTGTGTTGACCAGCAGACTTCTTTTGAAGAAGTAGTCTACTTTCATAGCACAGATCTGAAAACTCACGAAAATTGACTGAAAAATCACCTACCAGTGGTATTTAGCTTATTCAACCATCGATTTCTTTGATTCCAGCCACCACCAAACAAGCCCAATCGATTTACCAGACCAAATCACCAAATATGGCAATATATTAAAACATCAAGTTTCAAAAACTTTGATTAGAGAGTTTTTGTGCTGAAAATGGTAAAAATGAAAGAGTAGAAGGTTAAGAGAAGAGGAAATGAGGTTACAAAGCTAAAAAATAGGTCTTTGAAGCAATAAAAGCTTTGAATTGGTTGAAAATGGTGGTTGTATGAATTGATGGTGATGACATTTTTGTGAATAAGTGAGGAAGATGAGGATTGTTTGGTAAAATAAATTTCCGAAATAATAATAAAAAACAATAATCTAATGGTATTTTTGTGAATAAATACAACTGATAAAAATATAAGTGAGAAAATGGTTAATTTCAAAAGTAATAAAATGGGAGGTTAGTTTAGCAATTAACTTGAATTTATAGGTTATTTTTGCAAGATTCTGTAGTTTGATTGTTCAACAAATTAATTCAAGTATTATATTTAGATTTGTTTCATAATTCAACAAATTGGTTTTTTTATAATCTTTTGCATCCCGGATAAAGCAGGGCCCTACCTTGTTGTTGACTTTAAAACGGTTGCCATTTTCGGCGTAATAATGGATACTAGGCCTACCTTCAATGCGCACGTTTCTTAATTATTTTACAGAAATCTTTCAACAAACGGTCGGAAAAACACATTGAATTCGCTTCTAACACCTAACGTAGTTTTTTTTATTAAATAATGTGTGAAACTTAAAAAAATGGATGATATCAACGTCTGCATCACTACCTCAACTACTTCAATTTCGTTACGTTCTCCAATTCATGAACCATAGCTCAATTTTTTTTAGAGTTTGTCGTTTGTGTGGGTGTTAAACCCGCAAAACAGTAATATATCAAATTTAAGATTATTCTGGATCAAACAAATAATCAAGCTAAGAGGAATTAGAATTCAACAATTCATCGTCTAGCATTTACACAGAATCTGAAATTTCCCTGAGGTAAAATAAAAATTAGGCTTCTACGTTTCTTTTGTTTCTAAAGTGTGATTTTGACTTTTCTTCTTTCTACATGACTGGTAACTAATTTGCAGAAAAATGCATTACGAAATTCTAGCGTTTCTGCAAATATCCAAATCACAGCCATTATATTGTGTATAATTCCACAAGTGAATCTCCTATCCCTCAGGACCCATCACTCTCCTGATTTTTCCAGGAGGTGATAGCACGGCCGGGCTATTCCCGTGCTGGCTTCTCTCCGAGGCTTTAGGTTCGAGTGCGTCTCCTTTCGAAGCCGGAATCTGAAGCTTCCCTGGCTCAGTTGGTGATGGAGAAGACGAGAAGTACCTGAAGAAGAAAAACAAAACCTGAATGATAACAGAGAAATGAAACTTAACTTTTGTCCTAATGAATTTCTTTTTAAACCTGTGGTCCAAAGCTTGTTGTATCGTGATCCTTTGTCGTGGGTCGTAGATGAACATTTTGGCTAGAAGATCCAAAGCGTCGTCACTTGCCATAGGGAAAATGGTGCGTAATGGTGGAGCCGGGGTGTAGGAGAACTCCATGTACTCTGGGAGATAGATCATGTCGGACCATTGTGACTGTGTCGGAGTTCCAAAAGCTTGAAAGATCTTTCCAAGTTGATCAATCTCAGTAGAACCCTGAATGAATATACGAAAAAGTTCTGAAAACATCCGTGAAGTATAAGATATGTTCATGTTTTGAGATCTTTCCGAGTCAATAAGTACAAAAAAAAGTATAGAACCTTACAGGTAGAAATGGTCTACGAAGTAATAGCTCAGCAAAGATACAGCCTGCAGCCCAAACATCAACTCCTGCTCCATATTGTCTACTCCCAAATAGTAACTCAGGCGCTCTGTACCATGTAGCAAATACCTGTGTGAAGAAAAGTTTTTTTTAAAGATCCGAGTTATAAATTTCTTGGAGTCGTCCACAGTGAACAGTAGCAGATACAATTAACAAACAAGAAAAAGATATCTACACAACTAATCAAACCCAGAATCTTCTAGAGTCCAGAAAAGTCAATGCGTCCCTAAGCTACAAAAGGCTATCTTGTAACTTCGAACGTTCAAGATCTCGACGGTCCAAGAGAGCAACAACTATCATCCACAATTACAACGATATCAGGAAAGTGAGGAAATGCCGTGAGATGTGTGTGTCGGATTGCAAATGTGTGGCTTCGGTTTAAGGTTTAGATGATGGAAAGCCTTATTGTTGGATTGTAAAGAGTCTGAATGTTGGCGGGTTTCGAGAACCTGGTTCGACGCTTTTCATAAAAACTAGAGCTAATGAGTCTTATCCCAAGAATTCTAAGTCGCATGAGTGCCATGGATTAAGGAAAAAGGTTCTAGTGATCCCTCCACTAGTGGAAATGCTTGTGCTTGTGGCACTACTTGGGATGTTGTTATACTATCATGTAGATAGAAAGAACACTAAAGAAAGCCACAAAAGAACTCGCTGATCCTCTGTGAGTTTCACTTACCGAATGCAAGAATCGGAATCAAAAACATAATGATGTCTTCTCAATGCTCTGTATCAGTTCTTCAGTTCCAACAAAACATTCCAATTGATCATCAAGAATTGCCAAAGATGTATATATTACAAATCCTAGACTAATCTAGCTGCCAATTCAAGCACAAAAGTATCAAACTGTATGATGTCTTCTCAACGCTATGTATCAATTCTCTAGTTCCAACAGAACATTTCGATAGATCATCAAAAAGTGCCAAAGATGTATATACATTACAAATCCTAGACTAATCTAGCTGCCAATTTCCAACACAAATGTATCAAACTGTATAGAGCTTAGTATCAATACCTGATGAGTAAATCTTCGATTCGGACTCCCAAACACTCTCGCCAGACCAAAATCAGCTAGTTTCAGCAAACCATTCTCTCCAATCAGTAGATTATTAGGCTTCATATCCCTAACAATGGAGAAAACAAAATCAAAAATCGAAGCTAAAAGCTAAAGTAACTCAAAACAACAGAAGAAACACATGAACAAGCATTTACCTATGCAATACCCATTTCTTGTGACAATAAGCTAAACCTTTCATCGTCATCAACATATAAGACTTGATATCTCCAGGAGAGAGGAAGATGTTGCGGTCACGGATCACAGCTTCCAAATCCGTTTGCATATACTCGAAAACGAGATGCAAGCTTCCATCGTGAGGGAAGGCATCAATGAGTTCGACGATGTGTGGGTGATTAAGCTCTTTCAACAGCTTGATCTCCCTAAGCGCCGTGAAATTCACTCCTTCTTTCTGGTTTCCTAACCTAATCTTCTTCACTGCTACAGTCTTACCCGTCTATATAAAGCGAAAAATCGAAGATGTGATAAATCAAGCGAATATGGAATTGAAATCGAATCGAGGAAAGGGTTTGATTGATTGGATTAATTGATTGATTCACCTTGGTGTCGGTGGCTTTGTAAACGACACCGTATGTTCCTTCTCCGAGAACTTGGCGTCTGAGATACCGATCAACTGGTTTGTTTTCGCCGGATTTCGACATCGGGTTTCTCTTCTTCTCCGGTTACTATTTAGCACTTCGACGGAGACGAGGGGACAGTAAGGAACTTTTTAAGGAATTTTAGATTAGTTGGTCTTAATTTTACCCTTACTTTCTAGTATTTTATGAAACGAACCTCATAATTCTGAAATTATCGGAAACAATTCTCTAAAAACTCATTTAAAGCTATAATTCTGAAATTAAGTCTAAAAGGTCATAATGGATTTAATTATTTGGAAGAAATTCAATTTTCTAAAATTTTCTATTTTTTGATCTAGTATTTAAAATTTTAGGATATTGAATTAATAATTAATAATTTATTTTTCAAATATTCAACACTAAAAAGTCTACAAATATATCGAAAACAATCTAACCTCTATAAATTAATACTCGATAAATTACGAATCACTATAAATTAATAATTTTTGCTGGTCCCAAGCTGAGCCAGTATAAAAATTAGCAAATTTTGATAAAATAATAAGATAATAATTTTTTTGAAACTCCTTTGTAAAAATATAGTTCCAATAATTAAATAAATTAATAATTATACATTTAAGCATATATAAATAATATAATATATTAAAATATAATTCTATTATTGTTTCAAATTTATAAAAAGTGTTTGACTTATTTTTCAAATTCACTGATATGATATTTTCTGAATAAATTTTACATTATTAAATTTTTTTTTTTTTGACAAATATTTTGAATTTGAACTGAAATATCTCTCTATAAATTAATAACTCTATAAATTAATAAAATTTTTGAAGTCCCAACATTATTAATTTATAGAGGTTTTACTGTAGAATGATTTGTGAGATAATTTGTAATTAAATATTAATAATTCAAATATTATCTTATAAAATGATATTTGAGAAAATAAAAATAAGATCTTAAAAAAAAAATTATTGGACATATGGATTAATTATCACACGGACGTGTTATAGAAACTATCCATAATAAATTTTGGTTTGGGCTGATTCTGTCAAGAAAGCAATATGATGGGTACTTTGATTGGAGCAAGGAATATGTGACATAGTATATTTTCTTTACACGCAGAATTGGAGGCGCTGATATGGAGTATGCACTGTATGCTTGATGCAAGAAGAGTAGATATTACTTTTCAGACATACTGCTCACAACTAGTGAAGATGGTGACGAACCCAGAGAACGATCGGCTTTTGAAATATATCTAGAAGAGTCCGAGACAAGCATAAAGGAGTTCGGCCGCTTCTCGATTCAACAGATTCCATGCGCGCAGAATACGAAGGTAGACAAGTTAGCACAAAGTGCTCGAAAAAACTTTTATCAACTATATTATGTAAACTCAATTCTACCGAATTGGCTCATTGAACCTTTCTAAAAGTATTAAGGCTGTTGACAACCAAAAAAAAAAAAATTATTGAAAATAGATATGTCTCTTGGCCTTGTACAGGAAAAAGTTATTGATTAACGTCCTAACAAAATCATCTTGATAATCTAGTTTCTAGGATTAAATCTGATCGCAGAGCAGAACCAGAGAAGTTCAAGAGATGGGTCGGGAAGATCATGAAGAATACAAGTGAAGCTAGAGTTGAAATCAAGAAATGTGTTCGCCTGCTCCGATACTACACCAAGAATTACTTGATCTCGGTTTCAAAAATCAGAGAAATGGTTTTGTCTGCAGTGTGTGTAAGGTTTGAAAAGTGATCATGCTTTTGATATTTAGGGAGATATTGGGAGATGGATTTATGTAGATTTTAAGAATTTTTAAAATTAAGAGATTTTAAAAAATTTAGTGGATTTATTTGAATTTTTAAAATATATTACTATTGATTGTTGTTGATTTTCTTACAATTTTTATAATCAATACATTCTTTTGTTTTTTTATAATTTAAGGTAATATGTACATTATGTGCTATACTAAGAAAATTTCTAAATATTTTCTTTAATGTGGACATAGTATATATTGATAGTTGAGTTTTATGAGTAAAATTGTAGAGAAATCATGTTCCAATAATCTTAGATTTTAATAGAGTTACAAAATCAATAGTAACTAGACTTTTTGAATAGCAAAGGATTTTGTATGGAATTTAAAAGTCTTTAAACCAATAACAATAGATTTTACTATGATTTAAAAAATCTATGAATCAGTAATGATGAAATCTCAAGATTCTCAAAATATATTTCCCAATAACCCTGTTGAAATGTAATTCAATGGAGTTATTGGAGACTGAAATAAGTTACAAATAGTTTCAGTTTCTATTTGTTGGGTTAATTGCTTATTCAATTTGGAAGATTTATTTTTCTTAATTATAAGACTTAATAAGTCCATAGGGTAATGGGTGCTATTACATTTTTTCTCTTTATAAGCTATGCATTTTCTTTCAGCAAAGTATTTTTTTTTCTTTATTCTCTGTTTTTTGCTTTCTCTGTTTTCTACATTGTTTATCTTATTACAATATTGTGGTATCAGAGCAAAGGTTTTGGTCCCTTTCATCCTCTAAAAATTAAAAGCCATAGCAGGCAATAGAGTAAATTAGCAAACTTTGGTTCTAGTGTTTAAAGGTGAAAAGTATCACTTTTGGAGTCTTAAGATAAAGACAATGTTCATATTTCAAGAACTTTGGAATATGGTGGAAAATGGATTTGAAGATGCAAATCCTGCAGAACCTGATCAGAGGTTAAGAGAGAATCGCAAGAATGATGCAAATGCACTGTTTTTGATCGAGACAGCTTTAGATGAAAACATCCTATCTAGGATCCTAACAGTGGATACATCATATAAATCCTGGGATTTTCTGAAGAAGGAGTACATGGGAGATAAGAAGGTGATTGCTGTCAAACTACAAACTCTTCATCATCAGTTTGAAACACTTTTGATGAAGGAGAAAGAAACAATGCAAGAATATTTGGCAAGAGTTTCGGTGTCTCTAATATTCATTAACTTCTATTTTTCATGTTTCCAACAACCTTACAAATATTATACTAACAATTATGAAAATATTAAATGCAAATCTATTGAAATCAATATTTTCGTGACATCCACTTAAATTCTCTTTTTTTTTAAGAGGATTTGTTTTTTAATTTACAAAGAGATCTTTTGGTAATGGTATGCTTTATTTTCTATATAAACAAAAACTATTTTTATATTTAAATAAAATTATAGTAACAATAACTAAATTGAAATATTGTAAGTTAAAAATAACATGATAAAATCGATCAATTAAAAAATAAAAATGAAAACCAAAATAATTGACATGAATTACATAAAACATTAAATTGAAAAAGAAACTATATGTTTTATTTTCTAATTTATATAAAATTATATTAACAATGACTAAATTTAAAATGCAAATTGAAATATTGTAAGTTAAAAATAACATGGCAAACAATAAATTAGAAGTGCATAATTAATAAAAAAATAATCGCCATGAATTACATAGAACTTTAAATAGTAAAAAGAATAAACAATGTATGTTGATCTTGAAGACCTTAATTCTGGAGTGGCGAATCACATAATCAAGGCATTATCAAGGTGCAATATGCTGTTTTATGAATAGATCTGATGCGGTTTCAGGTGTTTTTGTCGTTGACCACAGTCATAGAAAGCATAATCATAACTTTGCATTTCACCCAATTGCTCATACGATCACCGATTTTTAAACGATTATAAATTATAGGCCAAGTAAAGAAAGCATACTTTGGTGGTTTATGGAAAAACCACCTTTGTTCCAAACTTCTCGGAGATTACTTTCTCGTTGAAACATATTCTTCGTTTATTCTTATAAGCTTTGATATTAGAGATTTTTGCAAAAATGATCTAAAATTTGATTTGAATTGCAAATCTAACCCACAAAAATCACATTCCCAACATTTGCCATTTTGTGTCCAAACAATCCTTCCTAGTTTCAGTTATTCACGAAATTGCCATTATTTTTTATTAATTTCTTTTATTTTCGGAAATCCAAATGACCAACTAATCCTCATCTTCCTCACTTATTTACGAAAATGCTCCGAAAGTAGACTTCTCTCGGTCCGAATGAAGTCTATTAGTCAACGCCCATATTAGTTTTGCAATTGACCGCATGAAAAAGTAGACTTCTTTTGATCCGAATGAAGTCTACTCAATTTCCTTTGATAACAAAAAAATGGAGTAGACTTCTCGAGTAGACTTCTTTAGAAGCAGGTCATTTTTACAATTGACCAACCTTTAACTTTGTAGAGTAGACTTCTCTATGCAAAGTAGACTTCTCCGAGAAGTCTACTCTGAACAGTAGACTTCTCCGAGAAGTCTACTTCCGTAAGTAGACTTATCGCAGGTCATTTTTGCAATTGACCAAAAAGTCAAATATTTTTCAATTGTAAAAATGACCTGCGAGAAGTCTATTTACTAAAGTAGACTTCTCGGAGAAGTCTACTTTTCATAGAGAAGTCTACTAATATTTTGGCAATTGCAAAACTAACCTGCGAGAAGTCTACTTTTATCCGAGAAGTCTACTTTTCTTGTTTTTAAAAAAAAATCATTTTTATACAATATATAACAAATTTTTAAGATTTTCGTGATCCTAAGCTTCTGTTATTAAGTTTTCTTGCATATGTATAAGTTTTGCATATTTATATTTTATAGGTATAGTCGAATGAGTTTTCATGTTTTATATGATACTTAGCTTATTAAGAGTAGACTTCTTAGTCTACTGTAGAAGTCTACTATGTAGACTTCATCCGACTTTCAGAGAAGTCTACTTATGCAATTTTGATGTCTAATGTGGTTTGGATTTTGTTCTTTTTTCACAGAGAATGACTCACATACCCGCTGTTTATGGAGAATGGGTTAAAAGTGAATAAGTGTGGCAGTTCGAGGTGGATAATAGCAAAGGAGGGTGAATGTTGTTCTTAAGAGATGGTTGCACACATGGTGAGCTTCTTGGTGAATGTTGGCAAAGGAGGGCGAATAGCAAAGGAGGGCGAATGTTGTCACCTTTAAGTTATGTAAAATTAATGTCTTTAAGAAGTCTACTCGAGACAATGAGAAGTCTACTCGACACAAGAGAAGTCTACTCGGTTGACAAGTTATATGATATAAATGAGAGAAATGTCTCTCTGAATCACTTTTAAGTTATGTAAAATTAATGTCTTTTAGAAGTCTACTCGAGA